GAGCCATAACCCATTTTTTTCCCCAACAATCTTAATTGGTTGTGCTACATCTTTACTACATTAATTATTTGAATCTTGAAGTCCTTATCCTATGTCTGTTAAGAGTTTATGCTTGAGCTTCTATCATGCGCAAAATGAGTTTGTAGTTTTAAAATAAATTATTCTGTTATTATTTGTTGAGTTATGTGCACTAAAGCATATTGAAATTATCCATTTGGAGTTGGCTAGTGTGCAAATGAAGATTGTAAGTAATGGTTTAACCTACCAACTTGTGCTTTGAGTTTCTGACTTGAAGCATTGTAATTTGATTCAATCAATAATACTAGTAAACATGCCAGCTTTTTTATGCACTTGAATACTGTTTTGACCAGCTTTCTGATTTTTTTAAATTGAATTTGCTTTGAAATCTCTTCAGAGTGTGATTTGTATCATGGCGAATGGTTCTATGATTCCGCTGGGCCTCTGTACACAAACAATTCATGCCCTGTTATCACTCAAATGCAAAATTGTCAAGGTAATGGGAGGCCTGACAAGGAATATGAGAGCTGGAGATGGAAGCCAGCACAGTGTGAGCTTCCAAGATTTAATGCAACCAAATTTTTAGAGTTGATGAAGGGGAAAACTCTGGCTTTTGTTGGCGATTCAGTTGCAAGAAACCAGATGGAATCTCTTATGTGCTTATTGTGGCAGGTAAATTGCATATGTTCATGTTATTTCTATTCCTCCCTAAATATTCCTACTGTCTTTTTTTTTTTTCCTTTCATTTTTTTGGTGATAGGCAAGACTCGCAAGAGTAAGGATGTAGTATATTGTTCGTCTAAAAGATGTTGCATCACTAAATCCTTCAACCTTATGAGTGTAGCATCTAAGATTTCTTTATATTTACTTTTTCCTATTAACCAGTTAATCTCTTTATTAGGATTTTCTGTTGTTTGGGTAGGGCTGATCATGGGCTCAGCTGTTGCAAAAAAAATTGGTCCACTTACACTTAACCAGAGTTCGCCGTCTGCCAAAATCTAGTAAAATTGGACCAGGTCTAGTGGAAAAGAGCCTAATTAAGCAACCTGAATTGGATCTGCTAGTTTTAACCAGCTTTGTTTCAGTGAGAATTATGGAAACTCTGAGCCTCTTTTTTTTTTTTTTTTTTTTTTTTTGAGGTGTGGGTGGGGAGAATGCCTCTTTCTAATCTGTATGTTACATTTTTCAATTTGTGGCACCAGCCAAATTTTGTTCATAATATGTTAGATATCGTGGTTCAGTTATGCTTAGCTCTTTATTTCATTATTGTTTTAGGTTGAAACTCCAAAGAATAGAGGAAACCGTCATATGCAACGGTGGTTTTTCAAATCAAAGTCAGTTATGATAGTTCGCATTTGGTCTTCATGGCTTGTCCATCAAACATCTGAAGCTTCTGGTGATCTTCCATCAGGAGTTGCCAAGCTTCACCTTGATGTCCCAGATGAAGTTTTCATGCAAAATATCCCAAACTTTGATGTGGTTGTACTTTCTTCTGGTCATTGGTTTGCAAAGCAATCGGTCTACATGTTGAATAACCAGATGGTTGGAACCCAGTTGTGGTCCCCACCAAAGAAGCAGCAGCCACTGAATATTAATAATGTTGACGCATTTGGAATTTCTGTTGAGACAAGTTTGACTGCCATGGCTACACATCCTAATTTTACTGGACTGACCATTCTTCGGGCTTACTCACCTGATCATTACGAGGGGGGTGCATGGAACACTGGTGGATCATGTACAGGAAAAGTGAGGCCTATATTGCCTGGTCAGTTGGTGAAAAATGACTTCACAAATATCATGCATGAGAAACAAGTGAATGGATTTTATGAGGCTGTTAAAAGGCAGACAAACCGTTCGAAATTGAAGCTGTTGGACATCACTGAACCTTTTTCATATCGGCATGATGGTCATCCGGGCCCATATAGGAGCCCTGACCCAAATAAAATCACAAAGCGAGGTCCAGATGGAAAGCCACCACCACAAGATTGCCTCCATTGGTGTATGCCAGGTCCAGTTGATACCTGGAATGAGCTTGTGCTTGAAGTTATAAGACGAGAGTTTGAGGGTAACCAAAACCCTGCCGTCTAACTGACGTGATATATTTATCAATAGCTAGGTAGCCTCTGATACTTTGCTATTTTATCATTGCTACAAATACTTGTAAAGTATTTATTGTTAAAGGAGAAAGACAGGGCCTGTTCGTGCCCTTATTAGGGTCTTTTGGCCAATTTACATTGTAGGTGTTTCTTGTTTGAGGGGTCTGATTTAACGGAAAATAGCAGATAAATTTTTGCCATTGAATCAAGTTTTATTTTAACTTGGTTGTGGATGGAAAACACCAGAAAGCTTCTTGTAGATGTTTTGGGTTCTACACTATAATTTTAACTTATTTAATTATTTTATGTCGTTATTCTATTATTAATGTCTTTCTTATGTCATTAGGCTGCGTGATACATATTACTAGTATTTATCTAATCCAAGCTGGTCACATATTCGCTATCAATCAGCATCAATTTTTCTTTGTCTAGTTGCCATATTTAGCTGTCTGGATTAGCACAAGCCGACGGCAACTCGGCATAATTGAATGGAAGCATAATTTCCATGTGCTACGTAAGAAGGCATGGTGCTTATTGTTATTTTAGTTGAAGAAGTAAAGTATTAATGGTTGGTCAACTTCAGAAAACACAAGTTTGTAGCTATGACTTCGGCTTATTCTAGAGACTATTCTAGGTCCTCTAACTATCGAAGAGTAGCCTCTTCTATTGCAATTTTGGTCATGCTACTTACAATATTTGTAACCTGGGATTCTTGGTTCATATTGTCGCGGCCCAACAGGTTGGTCTCTCCAAACTATATTTATGGGGCTAATCTTGCAGAAGATTCAGATTCTGTTGTTTACCGGGAAGGTGGGCATGTAGCCAAACCTGACCATGATGAGGAGTCAGAAGTAGAGATGGAATTGGAGGTGGATGTGTCTACAGGAGAAAATGAACCTGTTCAGAGTCAAACTGAAAGCAGTGAAGGCTCAGATAGTTCAGGTTAGGCTTTGTAACTTGTCTTGATGTGAGTCTTAGCTGCTTATGCTTGTGTTTTCCTTAAATTTGGTTCAAGCCACTATTTTTTGATCTGTTAATCAGCTAACCTATTTGTGAAGCATGTTTATTTGCATGTCCTACTTAGTACCCATCATCGTTTAGACATTGGATAGTTGAACGAAATGGATGCTTATTTCTATTTGTATAAAATTTGATTAGGCTGAGCAGGTGATTATTTCTATTTGTATAAACACACTTCTGGCCAGATAATGGTGGCCTATACGGCTAAATCAGCCTGAATTGGTTTGGTTCAGGTCAGTTTGGTTACGAATTTGCAAATTATTTGCGATTGTGATTGTTTGAATATATGTAGTTTTCTTACTTCTCTGTTCACTTGATCTTAATTCCTGTGGTTTTTTATGAGTGCAAGTTGCTGTATTATATGGAAGTCAAAATGGGATCAGATTAAATTTCAATTTAGTAGTAATATAAATTCCTTTTTTCGTTGTCAAACTTGTAGATTGTGATCTGTACGATGGGCAATGGTACTATGATCCTGAAGGGCCGTTGTACACAAACAATACATGTCCTATCCTTAGTCAGAATCAAAATTGCCAAGGAAATGGGAGGCCGGACAAAGAGTACGAGAACTGGAGATGGAAACCATCACAGTGTGAACTCCCAAGATTTAACGCCACCAAATTTTTGGAGCTGATGAGTGGAAAAACTATAACTTTTGTCGGCGATTCTGTTGCTCGGAACCAGATGGAGTCTCTTTTGTGCATACTGTGGCAGGTAAATTTAGAGTCTTTCCTGATACTTTGTTGGTTAACTTGCATTCTTGTATTGCTAAGACTTAACATCTAGAAAAAAAATAATCTTAATCATTGTTAGGTTGAAGTTCCACGAAATCGAGGGAACCGTCGTATGCAGCGCTGGTTTTTCAAATCAAAGTCTGTAACAATAATTCGTTTTTGGTCTGCATGGCTTGTACATCACACTACAGAACCTTTCAGCTATGTTCCAGATGGAATCACGAAGATCCACCTCGATGTTCCTGATGAAACCTTCATGGAACTCACACCAAAATCTGATGTTGTAGTCTTTTCCAACGGCCACTGGTTTCCTAAGCGATCAGTCTATTTGTTAAACAACGAGATTGTTGGAACACAGTTGTGGAACTCACCAGAAAATCTGCCAATGAACATAACCAGCACTGAAGCATATGAAATATCTACTGAGACTAGCTTGACTGCTCTGGCTACTCATTCCAACTATTCAGGATTAACAATAGTCACGTCTTATTCGCCTGATCATTATGAGAATGGTGCATGGAACACTGGTGGATCATGCACAGGTAAAGATAGACCTTTATTTCCTGGTCAAGTGGTGGAGCACGAGTACACGAATATCATGCACAATAAACAGACTGCAGGCTTCTACCAGGCTATTAAGAAGCGGACAAATGAATCAAAATTGAAGTTGATGGATATTACAGAAGCTTTCAAGTATCGTCATGATGGTCATCCAGGTCCATACCGGAGCCTTGACCCGAACAAGATCACAAAGAGGGGTCCGAATGGGCGTCCACCTCCACAAGATTGCTTGCATTGGTGTATGCCTGGTCCTGTTGATACATGGAATGAGCTTATGCTTGAACTCATCAGACGAGAGTTTGAAGGCAACCAAAACTCTGCCTTTTAGTTAATGTAGTTGTATTCTTTCATGAGACAGTATCTCATTAACCTGTCTTTGATCATTCATTGTTCTAATTGTGAAAATTAATTGTAAAGTATTGTGTGCTTGAAATGTTCTTATAGATTCAAATTTATAACCAAACTTAGGGGGATTTTGCCATCGCTTCTAATATGAAGTTCAAGTAACTTGATAATCAACTGGGAAAGCCAAAGGTGCAGTGGTATATTGCTTAATCATCTGATTCGGTAGTTTTGAGAATCCTTGGTAATAAGTACTATATTTCTATTAGCATAAGATTGGAAACTTCAAAGTTATAAAGCTCGTCACGAGCAAATATAAGAAAAAGGTGGATAAAGTAAGAAAAGACAAGTGCAAAAAAATGTTATTATGAGACAAGAAAAATAAGATAATAAAAGTGGGATAGATCGAAGTAGAATAAAGTATATATGTTAAAACCATAATGAAATAGATAGAAATGAAATATGATAAAAAGAATTTTTTTTTTTTTTTTTTTTTTTATAAAACTATACAACAGAAATAGTATAAATCGGAGTATAAAATAATGATATTAGACTCATTTTCTTTGCCTAATGATCTCACATACATTATACGTAAACCGATTGTAATATGCAAATACTTGACTATTCTCTCAAATTATAAATGCAACTAACCTAAAAATCAAAATCAACTTATTAAAAACCTGTAATCGGATCATACACCCACCCTACCCTAGCCCCTTACCTAATCTAAACAACTCCATTACAATATCAACCTCCTCAACTTCTTAACACTCTCCACAATTTCCTCATCTCCTTATTTTGATTTTTAGGCATTGTACAATAATACTTAAAAAAAAAAAAAAAAGGTAATACTTCTGAAAAATAAACATAATAGAAGATCCTCCCATTTTCATATTAATTATTCAGCGCTCCTCCCTCCACTGGTAACGGTCGAATTTCTTCATAAACCTTGTCTCCCTCCCCATACCTAGCATTACTTCCTCATCATCATCTTCATTCTTCTCAATCTCATTTTCTCTCTCCTAATTCGCCGACATTTTTCCTTAATCTGCTTCTTCGTTCAAGGTTAGTGTTCATTCAATTTCTCTCTCCTCCCGATTTAATTGCTTTCTGTCGGTTTATATTTTACTTCCAAATTTACTATTTTTAGCTTGTTTTTCTACCTAACTTAATATTGACTGACCATTAATTATTCGATCGACCTAAATTTGACCCTCCAAAACCCTAATTCTATCTGTTGTTTTCCATTAATTGGGTTTTTTTTAATTTTGATTTTGGTTAACTTTTGTTTATAATTTGGCAAATGTTAGTGTCTAATTCGAATGTTTATGCCATTTGCTTTAAAGATATTCGATCCGAGCAATTCTTATCACCGAAATTAGGGTTTGCTTATTGTAAATTCGTTACTTTTTAAATTTGTTGCTTTGCATTTTTCATTGGATTGTTGTTTTTGTGATGTTTGATTTTGGGTTTTGCTGATGATGAAAGTTACTCCGTACAATTAATAAATGATGATTGATACAATTGATAAAACCCTTTAGCTAATTAATTCATTTAATTGTACATGGTAGTTCCATAGATTATGTCATAAATGCCATTTTTGAGCAGCTTCTTGTATACATCAACTGGATTATAATTCCTTTTACGGGTACAAGTTTATATCATTGTGATATGCTTATTTTTATTTTTCTTTATTGGTTGTGGTGTCGTGGTGCGAGATTAATGGATCGTTAGGTCAAATTAGAGCTCTTCTTAGCAATCACAGTTTAGTAATCAAAGCTTATTGAGTCAAAATTACAGCTCTTCTATAATTCTATGTAATTTCTCTGAAGGAATTCAGTGTAGTTATTGTCGGGTTTGTTTGCATTGTGTAGTGTATGCATCGCTATATATTGGTGCACGTGCATTGTGCACCTAGGTGCACCATATTAGATTTCAATTTTGGTTCAATTTTCAAATTGCAGTCCCTTTTTTTTTTTTTTTCCTTAATTTGTTTCTGTTTTTGCTTATCTCTCTCAATAACCCTTCTCCAGGTTAATATATTTGGTGGTTATAGATATCTATTAATATGGGTGACATTCAGAATGATCCTCTTTCACAAACAGAAACTACATGTGGGTCTCTTTTGTATGAACTTCAGGTATGGTACAAGCTAACTGCAATTCAAGGATAGTATGTTACTTTTATTGTGTTTTCATTGGCGATTGACTTTATTTCTTGTATCTATTGTTTTCTTTAGATAATATGGGATGAGGTGGGTGAGTCTGAAACAGCTAGGGATAAGATGTTACTTGAGCTTGAACAAGAATGCCTTGAAGTATACAGGAGAAAAGTTGATGTGGCTAACCGCTCTAGAGCTCAGCTACGACAGGCTATTGCTGATTCAGAGGCAGAACTTGCAGCAATCTGTTCTGCGATTGGAGAACTTCCAGTACATATTAGACAGGTAATAGTTGATATAATTGATTTGTGAATTCGGTAGGATTAATAACCTGTACTTCTTTTAAGAATGCTTGAGCAGAATCTTTAATTTTGTAATGCTGTGTAATTCCTCCGACATGTGATGTATCCAAGCTACATTTCTTTTCAAAACGATTTGCATGCTAATTTGTCAGTTGTCACTGACTGTAGTTAGAAAAAATCAAATTGATCCATTATTCCGTGATTAATCTTTGTAGATTATAAAATTGTGATTAAGAAGATGTATTCAGATTCACTTCTTAGATCAGTCTCTAATTATGTTTGTTTATGCCAATTAATGAGGAATAATAAACTAAGCTATATAATTCAGACTGAGCAAAAGGCTGGAAGTTTAAAGGAGGAACTTAATGCCATTCTTTCACAACTAGAAGAGATGCGGAAACGAAAAGCAGACAGGAAAAATCAGTTTCTTGAGGTCATTGAACTGATTCAAAATGTATCAATAGCAATATATGGATCGGCTGGATATGATAGCTCAACGGAAGCTGTGGATGACAATGACCTGACTCTAAGAAGGCTTGAAGAATTGCAAAAACAACTGCAGTCCTTGCAAATGGAGAAGGTGTGCTTGTTTCTAATTAAAAATGCCTCATTGTCTTCAATTTAAGGCTTCTGACTGTGCTGATTTCGCAAAAAATTTAGTCTATAAATATTTTTGTAATCCTTTCCGGTCATCAACTTGCAGAGTGATCGCCTGAAGCAAGTCCTGGAGAACCTAAGCGCATTGAGTTTATTGTGCTCTGTCCTTGGATTGGACTTTAAGAAAACTGTAAGAGAACTTCACCCCAGTTTAGTTGAATCCGAAGAAACTTTTAGTATAAGCTCTCATACACTTCAACAACTGGAGTCTTCCATAAAGAATTTGCGAGAGCTTAAGCTTCAGAGGAGACAGAGGGTACAGAAATGTGGTCTTTTGATTAGTTTCTTGTTTGCTTTCTTCTAAGTGAAACTTCTTATTGGCTAAACTTGTGTGCTTTTTTAACTAACCTTGTGCAGCTCCAAGATCTTGCTACCATGTTGCTGGAGCTCTGGAATCTGATGGATACACCAGTTGAAGAACAACAACCGTTTCAACATGTCACGTGTAATATTGCTGCTTCAGAAGATGAGATAACCGGCCCCAACATGCTTTCAGCAGATTTTATTAAATACGTGAGAACCATTCCTCTTGTCTATATTTTTTTTCCTGGAAATCTCTAACAAATAACTGGTGGTTTAGGAATTGTTGATTTTATCAAAAATAAATACATGTGTTGTGCAGGTTGAGGCAGAAGTTTCCAGGCTAGAAGAGCTGAAATCAAGTAAGATGAAAGAGCTTGTTTTGAAGAAGAGGGCAGAGCTAGATGAAATTTGTCGGAAGACACATATTATTCCTGCATTAGATGATGAAACAGAACATCTTATTGAGGCAATAGAATCTGGTAACTTGCTTTCGACATTTTATTGTTAATTTTGTTATTGTGTGCTTATTTTCACGATGCTCAATCCTCTTTATTTAGGAGCTTTGGACCCTGCTTCTGTCCTTGAACAAATGGAACTAGAAGTTTCCAAGGTCAAAGAAGAAGCTTTTAGCCGCAAAGATATTCTGGAAAGAGTTGAGAAGTGGTTATCTGCCTGTGAGGAGGAGGAGTGGCTTGAACAATATAATATGGTAGTTCTTAGTTTTTCATAAGTTGCTACTTTCTTGTATTATCTTTGTAGGTGTTGACAGATGCCTCACTTCTATGTCAGGATGAAAATAGATACAATGCAGGAAGAGGTTCTCATCTCATCCTCAAACGTGCAGAGAAAGCACGAACAATAGTTAATAAGCTTCCAGGTAAACATCATTACATTACGCTGTATCACAACTCCCAAGATGATGCATCAACCAGGATCTGGGAGCAGCAGCATGCGGTGGGAATTGATTTAGCACTTCCTTTGTTTATATCCATGCATCCCCTGATTGATGGAATTGCTTTCAATGACTGTCTCACAATATTGAGTTGTGATAAAGTTCCCAATCGTAATGAATGTATGTATTTTCATGCAGTATGGTCTGATTATGGTAATGGTCTGATTATGATATGAAGCCTTCATGCAGCATGTATTTTCTGAGGACCAGTTTTATGAATGTATTTCACAAATATTAGGTTGTTTTTAATACATGAACCCTGAGGTTGAACCAGATAGGTATACACATTTGAGGTTTATCTGTTTAAACTTCTCGTAAGCGTAATATTTAGAGATGTAGTTGAGATATGATTCTTGTAGAAGGTAAGTTTTAAGTCTTCAACCTTGTCAAAGTGTTTGTTGCTTTTGCAAGTATCTATATTAACTGGCTGGCCCTGATTATTTTTTGGCTGGCTGATTTTGATTGTTCTCAATGCTATGCAGGAATGGTTGAGGCTCTGGCTGCAAAAACTCAACATTGGGAGGAAGAAAGAGGTCTTGAGTTCCTGTATGATGGTGTAAGTATATAAATCTCTGCTGAGAAAGTCTTAATTGTTATATTTGCCTTCTTCTAACCTGTCTATATGTATTGATCAGGTTCATCTTCTTTCTATGCTCAATGAGTACATTACATTACGACAGGACAAGGAACAAGAAAAGAAACGACAGCGGGTATGTAAATCATTGAATCCTTTGCTTTCTTTTGCTCTTTTCCTTCTGATAGTTTTTGTTTTGTCTGACTACTACCTCCATACTCAAATAAATTATTTCGTTTTCCTTTTTGTTGCTGCATATTGTCATATACAAATAAGAAACAATATTATCATTTCTTGGGGGATAGAAAAAGCAAACTGGACATTTGTTTGAGTAAGTATATTTGAAAAGGATGTTTTATTAATCATGCATTTTCATGTCTAAATTTAGGAACAAAAGAAACTTCAAGGACAACTGATGGCAGAACAAGAGGTACTTTTTGGCTCTAAACCCAGCCCAATGAAGTCTGCAAAGAAAAGTTCTAGAATATCTGCGGGAGGAGGAAACGGTAGAAGGGTTTCTATTGGAGGAAATGCGCTTCAAACACCTCGGCCTGACTCATCTCATTCAGCCAGAGGAACACCAAATTTGCGACCTTCCAAGAGAGATGACAACACGGGATCACTAACTGGTAAGTTTTTTGGACACTGTCATATTTCTGAGGCAGAAAGTTTGGTACTTGCATCTGATGGTGTGCCTTTACAGTTCCTGTGGCATGTCCTCGCGTGTTATGGCTTATAAAAATCACTTAACTGGAGTATTCAGAAAAATATATGCTGCAAAAATGAGTACACAAAAGAGTCCTTTAATTATGAAAATGAAAACCATGGACAGGTTAATCCTAGATTAACTTTTTTGGTTTACTTTACATTTTTCTGTTGAGCCAGCAACTTCAGGTTGGGATCATGTCCCGTTTCTGCAACTCAACTTATATCCCACCACCTCCTAATTGCGTGACATGTCATCAACTTTAATAATACTCAAATGCTATTGGTAAATATGGATGATGTGTGTTGATCGGAGATTATGGTACATAAAAATATAAAATAAGATGTAGAACGAGATTGAGGATTCCTTACATAGCAAGTTCATCCCACTTATGATATTGCTTTGCTATTGTAGTGCAAAGGGTTTTGGACAAGAACTTCACGTTCAATGGTCGTGAAACAGAACCAGCTGTGGTACGAAGACCTTTCTCTCCCATTTCTTCCACGGCATCAACAAGAGCACACGAGGATTTCTATGATGATGATAACAATGCCATGCAACAGCAAACAGTCTTTCAGATAGAGACATCCCAACAAATATTTACTACACCCTCAAGGAATGTTCCTGCTGAAGATGAAGAAAACTGGACTCCAAAAGTAATGCACATTCCTGAACCTGCAACACCTTCAACAGTTTCAGCTCCAATGCACACATCAATGACACCTGCGCCTCTTCATCAACCTGATTTTCATGATGGTGATAATTTGGTGGAAGAAACTGATGAAGAGGTTGAATACTCATTTGAGGAAAGAAGAGCAGGATTTGTATTGCCTAATACTCATCTTAAAAGAGTAATACAAGTGTGACTGTGTGAGGCTATAGTAAAACGTTGGAAGTTAGAATCTTAGAGGAATCCTTTTTCTGAAAACATAATCTTCGTCGGGGTTTTGTGGTCACATTGTTCAAATTACACTGTGAACGTGACTATTAAATCTTGATTGAGCAGAGTACATAATTACTTAATTTGATGGATGAGTCAAATTATTTTCTATTGGCTTCTTCATCTTTCTACACTTGTATATTAGTATATTACTACACAGTGCTGCATTCTTAATATTTTTTTGTTGCTTGAACTTGTCAATTGTATGCTTGTAAAATACTCATATTTCTTTATTCAATTGGAAAAAATTACTTTCTCCTTTGACCATTCATAATCTTTGTCATGTTACTTTGACCACTGATGGGGGGTTTCTCCCTCTTCTTATTATTATTAAAATATTTTTTTTTCGGTTTTACCTTGGAGATTTATTGTCTTTGTTATTTTTTATTTTAGGTTTTACCTTAGACATTTATTTCTTTGTAATATTAGAAGGATTAATTGGAAACTCCACCAAATTGGTAGGTGGTCATCACATGGCTTATACTTTATTGGAAAATTTTCACTATTTGCTTTGTTTGGCGTATACTTTACTCCATAAAAATGATGTCACCTTAGATAAAATGAAAATTAATTAGTGTTTTTCTAAGTGATGAACACTAATTAATGATTATGACACTCCTTTAAAAGGCAGATTAAACAAATATTACAGGAAGATATTGTTTGATTGAGTGGCCTAGATAATGGAATAAAAGTCTTAGGAAATTTCTTGGAACATCTTTGCCATGGGTAATGTTTTTATATAGAGGCACGGATTTACTAATTTTATAGCAATTATGTTATTAATTTTAATCATAATTTACTAAAATATTATATTTTTACGTGAAACAAAATAACTTTGAATTTTAATTTATACTCATATTAATTTTGTCTAAGTTGTTAAATTGATGCATAAGACTTATAAATTAAAAAATGAAAGAAATTTATGAACTATAAGATGTCATGCTACACCATATAAGGAAAAAAAAAGTAGATTTTAGATAAGTACCTGTACAATACTACAATATGCTCATATATGCATATATCACTCGTTCCTAATTTGTTGTAGGACTTCGATCTACACAACGTTTTATACAAATTTATTTATTTTATTTGATCTACACAAACATTTTATACGACTTTGTACTCATATTAATTTTGTCTAAGTTGTTAAATTGATGCATAAGACTTATAAATTAAAAAATGAAAGAAATTTATGAACTATAAGATGTCATGCTACACCATATAAGGGAAAAAAAAGTAGATTTTAGATAAGTACCTGTACAATAATATGCTCATATATGCATATATCACTCGTTCCTAATTTGTTGTAGGACTTCGATCTACACAACGTTTTATACAAATTTATTTATTTTATTTGATCTACACAAACATTTTATACGACTTTGATCTACACAACGTTCAAGCCTTCATTTATTTATTTTTTTTATATAAATTATTACAAACATAATATTATACTTCATATTGAAGTAGGGGAGGAAAAATTGAATTCCTGTCCAATTATATATTTTTGATTGCTTAGTTAAGATTATGTATTGTATATTCCAATCAAAAAAAACAAAAGGATTATGTATATTTTTAGTTGAAACAAAATTGGTGGTAAGCTTTTGGACAAAATCTTGACACATGATATCATTAATATGCTTGAAGGCAAATGGTAAATTATTCGAAAACCAGCAAGATCAAACATGGAATTACGTTAATTTAATATATTATCTTTGTAATTGATGAGCTAGTAAGACTCATAATTTGTAATACCTTTATATTTATTTGAACCATTGTACAAAAACAAAGAAGATAAAAAAAATAAAGTTGGAGAAAAAAGAATGATAATATATTGTAATTTTGGATAATAATATATTCTAATATACTGTAGTACCATGTAATTTATACGGAAAGGAAAATATTAGTATAGGTTATATACTTATATAGGTTATATTGTTAGGAAGATTTGACACAAAAGGGAAAGAAAGTTAAAGGCGGGAAAATTTTTAATCAGTAAATGACATGTGTCACTTTTTATTTGCTTTTAGTATATAGTTATTGATTTTTTGGACATAATTACTTCCAAAATTCTACTTGACTTTCCCGCAACATTATTATTTGGGAGGTTGCATATTTGAGTATTTTTTTTTTTAAAAAAAAATCATTTTGAAATTCAAATGAATATATTTATGTAGCATGAAATTTTGTATGAAAATTACTATTGTGCATGATTAATGGGAAACAATCAATGTAGCCAATATCTTTATTTTCTGGTAAAAGTTTTACAAATTTTAAAAAGATATACACATTTTTTTGGCAGGAATTTGTTGTGTGCGATTAACGTTTAACAATCAATCACTACTACCATGCTTTTTATAATTTGAGTCATAAACATTTATCCCAAAAACAACAAAAAAAATTACTTACAAGTCTTTTTATCTACATTTATCACTTGTCACATTTGCAAAGTAAATTATCAACAACAACTTTTTGGTGAAGCAGGCCACACCGTGTGGCAGGGGTTACCCCACTTATTTAGTCAGGGGTTACTTGAGTTACTCGCTCAGAGATTACTTGAGGGGTTCAGACAGAGTTTACTTGAGGGAGTTCACTCGGTCAAGGTTTACTTGAGAGGTTATTTGATCAGGGGTTACTCGAGTTACTTGGTCAAGGATAACACGAGTTACTCGGTTAGGGGTTATTCGGTCATGGGTTACTCGAGTTACTCGGTCAGGGGTTACGCGAGTTACTCGGACAGGGGTTAGTTAAGGGGAGTTCAGTCAGGGGTTACTCGAGTAATTCGTCTGGGGTTACTCGGTCAGGGGTAATCTCTGACCGAGTAACTCGAGTAACCCCTGCCGCACGATATAACAGGCCGCATACAAAAAATTGTGAATTATCAATGAACAATTAGCAATGTAAAAAAAAAAAAAAAAAAATCCTTAAAATGCAATTATACCAAAACTTTTACAAAGCGAAAGGTAAAAAAAAGCTTGTCATCCAATAATATCTTTTAGCGACATTACACATTAGTGTAAGATTACATACTCCGTATCTTTTAGTAATTGAAGAGGGGACAAACAAGATAAATGCTCAAAATCTCTATCTCTCTCTCTTTTTTTTTTTTTTTTTTTTTTTTTTTTTTTTTTTTTTTTTTTGGGTGTGGTGATCAAGATAGATCCTTAAACTAGTGCAAAGGTATAGTACAACTGTACAAGAAAGCCCTAGCCGCAAAGATTGAACATTTGAACATGTTGAAGATTCAAATGGATATTTTCAAAGTGGCAATTAACGGTAAATTATGATTCCAAATAAGGGTAATATTTTATTTATTATTGTAATGATCAACCGTTTAAATTTTTAATTTTAACCCCCAAAAGACAAAGCAACAAGGCTAGTAGTAGTAGTTTGGAAAATTGGCATGCTCTCTCTTACCTTAACTTTACAGCCTTTAATTTATTATTTTGCACACTTTTTTTTAAAAATGAAAAAACATAAAAGGAAATTGTTTTTATTATATTTCCTATATTTTTCTTTTAATTAATTTTGAAAATTTTATAACTTTTTGGTATACTCATACCTGCTTTATTAAATTCCCTAGACGGACTTGAACCATTTTCTTAACCATAATTAATTCTTCGTATTTTGTAATTTAGATGGGTCTAATATTTAATTAAAGTTTCAAATTTTTTATTATCTTCTGTATTTGTTAATATTTTATTTTTTCAATTTTGTAGAAATTTTTTATTTTTGCTCCTTTTACTTCTCTTTTTCTGCAAAAACCCAGTTTCCAGAAAATAAAACTAGTTGGTGGTTTTCAGACACAAAGGAATAGGTTAAGGGTATGTTTATTTTCTTAAGTTAAGCTAAAAAAAATTACTAATATTGCTATTATTTTTCTATAATTTGTTGAAATGGTGAATTTATTTTAGAAAAATTTCCTGATTTTTAGTGATTTTAGATTGAAAGAAAAGATCTTTAGGTTTTTAATTTTTTTTATTTAAATTTGTGGGTGTTTTATGCAATCCTGTTTTTTCATAAAAGAAATTATTGCCAGTGAGTTGAATTTTTTTTATTTTATTTTGTTGTTGATTGACCTGTTTCTGGGCTTTTTCAAAGGATTCTGGGTTTTGGGTATTTGATCATTTTTCACATTTGGTGTTTGTCAATGCAACTTTTCAGTTCAATATATGATTTCTACAATTTTCTTAAAGTAGTTTAGTGAATGTTTCTGGGTATATTGTAATTTGTAAAATCTTAGGGTTTTAGGTTGTCTGAAAGGGTTTATTGAGTTGAGTGTGTATTGAAAGTTTGAACCTTTAATGCATGGAGGCTAGTAAAGAGGAAATAGGTAGTTCTGGGGTAACAGTGAAAGGTGATGAAGGGAGTCAGGGTTTCTGTTTGGCAGCAAGGGGTGAAAACCCTTTGAGCCAACCAGGAGCTCCAAATATGGCAGCTGCCTCTTCACCTGTTAATTTGGCAGGAGTACCGCCTTCTTCCGATTCAAGGAAGAAGAGAGGTAGGCCTAGGAAGTATGGCTCTGATGGTGCTGCTGCGGCCGCATTGTCACCAATGCCGATTTCGGCTTCAATTCCTCTGAGTGGAGATTTTTCAGGTTGGAAACAACCTAGGGCAAGGCCTTTACAGACAATTAAGAAGGCACAAAAAGTGGAGTTTGAGAGTTTAGGTACTTTTGCACCTCACTTAAAGTAATGTATATATAGGTTATGTTTTTATTGTACTGCAATTGGTTTTAGTTTTACTGCAATTACTGTAGTTGTTTTTTCTGCATATTTCAGTTGATGTTTAGTAATATGTGGGATAAATCTGCCTTTTAAGATACCTGAAGCAGGACATTCCTTTCTTGCTCTATCTGGGGCCCCGAAAGGATCATTTCAAAATTGAAGTGAAGTTGTTTCATATGAATGGAATTGACAACCTTACCAAATTCATGTACTGATGTACTGGTTAATTTTTCGAGATGTGTGAATGCAATGTGATATGGGTGTTTGAATAGGGAGATTAAATTACAATGTTTGATTTGGTTGTGTCAATATATGAAATCATGGTGTGTAATATATGTTCAAGATCATCTGGCATAAGATAGCTGTATGAGGTGCCTGGTTCTTTCAAATGCTCTCCTAATGATATTATGATATGCTTTGATTATATAGTATGCTCTGATATTTAGCTGAATGGGGTTTAAAATATATTTAAATCATTATGAAATAAAGTCTGCCTAAAACTAGTACTGGTTAATTTGATAAGTTGCACATAACAGTGGTCAAATCTCATTTGGGATACATATTTAACATTGCAGCATGTTTTATCAACGATGATTTATTTGTATTAGCTTATATAAACTTTAAGGAAACTATATGAATTTCAACCTGATACACATCCATAATTATGGGGATTAGTCCTTCCAAAATAAAACCTTGTTATTATGTTCTTAGTCTAATTAAAGTTTTGCTTACGGTATTGTGTTATCCTTAGTCTGTTTGATTAATGATCCTCATAGTGAAACAAAATTTCTGATCATATGTCAATCTGGTTCACATGTTGAAGAGATGCTAGTGGATTTGGCTAAATTAATAGATCAGCTTCAGGTATGGATCCTTCAGTCCTTCCACTGACAAAAATTTCAGGTGGCCTAGATTGTGCAGCCCTACCTGGGCTATGCCAACCACTTAGTAGACAGGTTGCTAAATTCATATTCAATTCAAATATCACTTGGATTCAAGAATTGATTATGTTATAATTATGACTGATATAATCTCTAGAGCCAAGCCAATCCTACCCAACGAAATTAATGATCCAAATCTCACCCACCTGATTGCTTCCTAATAGTCGTGACTGCTTACAGTAATGAAGACTTCTTCACATATCTCATAAAGATTACACATTACAGATATATCTTGGAGTGATGCCAAATATCTGGTGTATGTATGTGGTTAATGAGTCTCATTAGCATCCTTACTATGCCTCCCTGCTGAGATGTCATTAAAGAAACTTAATTGCAGAGTTCCAGGAACATTTTATTGCTGGAAACTGACAGATGCCGACTCCTTTCCCTGCCATGTATATTGTGCTTAAATTTCATGTGCTTCTCCTTTGTATGCCGTATCCAATCTGCCTATAGCTTTTAGTTTAGTTGGTTCCTGTGAATAACTTTTAATCTGATATTGGTTGATGATTGCTAATATATGAAGCTATTCAGGTGATCGACTTGCGTATTTCGTTGGCGCAAATTTCACCCCTCATGTGATCACTGTAAATGCCGGGGAGGTATGTATTAATATTTTCAGTCAAATGTTCTTGTTAATCAATATTCCCTGAATTTTACAAATAGCTGCTGTTCATCATAAGATCTTCAGCTATTTCAGTATACTGACTGCAACCAAAGCTTAAGGAAATTTGTCTCTGCTGGATCTTGTCTAGGCTACCTATTTCTCAAAAATGTTCTTCCTGATGTTTACATAGTTGTACAACACATTCATTGTTATGCTGCTGAAATGAGTATCTCTATCTAGAAGTGCCCTGGAGTGGCTGTATAGTTTTACTTTTACACCCATTCTTCAGTTGAGAAATGCAAAATCACTGACAGATAATTTAGATAGAAGTTTTAATGACCAAAAAAGAGTTCTTTCTATGAAGATAATATGACTAACACGAGTAACACCCCATGTTCTCAAAACCTCCGAATTCCACACCTTGTTATTTCACTCTAAATAGTTTTTAAAACATGCTTTCTGGATCGTTTGAGCTCTTATTATTGGGGGATATTGTATATTTATCATTGCTAAAGTTCCCAAGATAGTATAATTACTTGGTCTTATCTTTTCCATGCTTACACGTATATTCAGCCTACTCTAATGAACAAACACTTATTTCTGATCGTGTACTGATTCTGTTCTCCTGCCATCAGGATGTCGCAATGAAGGTTCTATCGTTTTCTCAGCAGGAATCCCGTGCTATATGCGTTCTTTCTGCAAGCGGTTCTATTTCAAATGTCACCCTTCGTCAATCTAATTCTTCTGGTGGCACTTTAACATATGAAGTATGCCTTCTTCTCCTTATTTACAATGAGATTCCTGAATAGTTGGTAGGAAGACTTCTACAGGGAGGACGGGGAAGGGGAAGTGAAGCTGTATTTTCTTGTGGCGGCTTAATCCGACCTCCTTAGTTGTATTAAGTGATCTGTAAAATCTCTAATCTCAAGGCAATTTTGAACTTACTATTCCCCTTTGCGCATGAACTGTATATGAGGGTTAATTTTTATTCGGGTGTAGCTAATCATAGCTAGAATGCCAAGGAAACCTGATTTGTTGGTATTGTACCCTTTTTTATGGCCTGATATAGAAGTACCGGCATTTAGACGACTTCCGTGATGGATGATATATCTTTTCTAGGAAGAAAAGAATTGGGGGGGGGGGTGTTGGATGAATGGGCATACTATGAAGCTCTCTGGTATTATACGACAGTTTCTATTTGTACTTGTTTAGCAAATTAGGGTTACACTGTGGACTTGTGGTGTTTCACTCCCAAAACAAGTGCAAGCATTTAATTTGTAGACCATGTGTGTATAAGAGACCTGTTTGCTTCTTTGAGATGTTTAGGTCTCAGATCTGATCTAGCTTGCAATTTAGGAATCCATAGAAATTGCACCTGTTAAAATTTAGGAGGCTGTGCATTGACTGACAAGTGCATAAGCCTGATTAAAGAGTATCTTGTGAGCTTGTCATATTTTGATCCTCATAGTGTTCAGTCTTGGGTTTTCTCGCCGCTTGCAATATCTGGCTGATTATACAGATTTTAATTTAGTTCTTTATTGATTCTGTAGGGTCGTTTTGAGATACTTTCCTTGTCCGGATCATTTATGCCTACTGACAACGGAATAATGAAGAGCAGATCAGGAGGCATGAGTGTCTCACTAGCAGGCCCTGATGGGCGAGTCTTAGGTGGTGGACTTGCTGGTCTTCTCGTTGCTGCTAGCCCCGTGCAGGTAAGATAATTATCTAATTTCCCTTTCTTGTTTTAATGGGCAAATTAGTGTTTCCAGCCTATGCATTGTTTTATAATCAATACAGCAAAACCAGTTCACTGTTCTTATTTACTGCAGTATTTTGCTGTGTCTTATGCTAATTGTCACAACTGAATTATCAGGTGGTGCTGGGGAGTTTCTTACCAGGCCATCATCAAGAGCACAAGCCCAAAAAGCAGAGAGCTGAACCCGCAACCACCGCTGCCATCCCGGCTATCATCAACAACCAAGTCCCTGAAGGAGGTTACGGGGGACAGAAGGTAAACTTCACATCCCCACCCCCCTCATTCCATACCGACAACTTGCCTTCTATGAACTCTATGCAACTGGACCCGATGGATCTTGAAGCTGACATTAATGAATCAACCCCTGAAGGGGGTTCTGATGATTTTGATGATGACGACAGTCCTTCAAATCTGGAGATTTCTGGCTGATAATCTGACCTTAGTTTTTTCTCACATCTGTATTTGTATTTTCAAATTTTAGTGGTCCACAGATTTACCTAGGCTCTGCTCTTCTCACTTTGGGAATCACAGTATGTCAACATGTATCGTTACAATTAGGTTTTTAGCTTCACATTAGTTTCGGATTTTTAACACAGGATTTGCCGGTTTATTAGGACTAGTCAGGATTTTTAGTTTAGTTAGTACAGCTGATGGTGCTGTTAATTATCTGGGTGTTTTGTCCCTCTTCTTGGGTTTCTTTAGAAACTACAGATGTATGTCATGTATGACATGTATTCCTCATTCTTCTGTTCAACTTTTGTGGAATTAAAATCATGCCTTTCATAGCAAGAATTTATGCTGAAATTTGAATTGGAGAAACATAACACGTTCCCGCCTTCCAAACTGCTTGGAACTTTCAGAAAAGCTTCCAATACATCTATTTCTTTTCTTCATTTCAATATGGTCTATCAGTCCCCCACCCAAAAGAAAAGCGAGTATACTGATCATTTTGTAGGACAAAAGGTCAACATTCTTCTGTTCCTTTATTTTGACTTATAGTAGCATAAAATTTGACAAATAAACTACCTGATAGTGGCTGATTCATGTCTTAACTATTTTAATTACTACTCTTAATCCCTGTTTCGTAATGTTTGCTGTGTAGTAGCCTAGGTGGTATGGTTACATTGGGTGGTGGTGCTCAAGACTCGGGGTTGAATTTCTGTCTGGATAATAACTGAATGTCCTTTCCGGCTTGGAATCCAAAAGGAATGCTTAAAATACATAGTTACCCTTGTATTGTCACTAAATCATATCTTCCCATTTCATTTGTTTTGTATCTGATGCATTGCTCAACTGAAAGCTAAGTTTTTACATATTGTTTGTCCTGTTTCCTTAAAAAACCGATGAAAAATCTGCAAGGACATATAATTTGAAAGGGGAAGGATGTTCTAAATTATCAGTAAACATCTGCTAGCACTTGTTACAATCCTTGCTCGTAAATTTTTACTCTCAGCCTCTCTGCCTGCCAATCTCTGTGAATCTTGTTAATGAAGTCCTCGATACGTACATTTAGCTCATGATCATCTGCTGCCACTTCTTCTTGATGTTCTGGTTCTTGTTCTTCTTGAGTGTCATCATCTACATGTTTTGCTGCTTCTGTTTGCGCTTTAGAGGCTGCTGCTGCTGCTTCTTCATGAGGGTCATCATCTACATGTTTCGCTGCTTCTGTTTGTACTTCAGAAGCTGATCCTTCTGTCGTATAATCATCCTCTACTACTTTGGCATCATTCTCATAGTCATTTCTTGATGTATTTGGATCTAACACAATCTGAAAAGCGTCAATGCTGCTTGGAGTATGATTCATGTCGCTTTTTGAGCGATCAATGAGAAGAAAAACTATGATAATATTGCAAAAACAGAAAATAAGATGAAAGTTTGATGTAGCTTGAGCTATCAACTCAACTGTGGAAGCTAACATTTTTATGTTAAGAAACTAAAATAACAAGTTCGAGCTAGAAACACGTACACGCACACACACACAGCGAAAAAGAGAAGGAGAGTGAGAGACTGTGGGTGAGAAATGTTTTGTGTTTTGTTGAAGTAGAAAGGATAACAAAAATGAGGCTGTATATATGTAATGGGTGAGAAATGTTTTGTGTTTTGTTGAAGTAGAAAGGATAACAAAAATGAGGCTATATATATGTAATGGGTGAGAAATGAGAAGTGTGTTGAGGAAGCTCATTGTTGAGAAAGCCAAGGAAAAAGGAGAAAATGTATGGGTAGTGTGGTGTGAAAGCTACATGTGTATTAAATTGTTTAATGATTGAATGAATACTTGGGTTTGGATATCCTTGTCACATTTATTTTTTGGAAGAATATTACGGAGTACTCCGTAGAATTAAGTCCACGTGGCAACAAGTCTTCATGTCCCAAGTGTTACGCACGCTGACACGGTCTACACGGGAAGTTTTTTTTTTTTTTTTTTTTTTTTTGTATTGAATTTTCAACAACTGCAATACCAAGTCAACATGTAGTTAAGTGTGTAATACTTGTGTATACAATTAGAGAATCTAGATAATCTTGATTAGGATGTAAATTTAACTTTTTAAGGGCTAATGTTAGAACTTATCTTGAACTTTAGCTTAATAAAATGTATTTGCCGTGGTTAATCTAAAGTTTTTTTTTTTTTTTTTTTTTGGACAACGGTTCGAAAAGGAGGCTATCTTCCAACTGACTCAAGATTACAACGAGAAAATTTAAACCTTTTAACCAAACTAATACAAGAACTAAAAAGGGGATTAGGGTTATAGACACTATAAATTGCTTGGCAATGCAAATAAGGGGGTTGAGGATATCCATCGCCGGAACTAGCCCTAAGTTGTTCCAAACTTGTTCTCTTGCGTTTTTTGATCCTACAAAAACGACTAAAATACCTTCTACCTTTCTTGTTCTTCGCCCTTGACCTGATTGGCTTTTCATTTTTTCTTGACGTGGAAGAAAACATGAAGGTAGTGAGTGGTGGAGAGGACTGCACATGATCGGGTTCAACAGTCATGGGGTCTTCGTCGTTAGAACCTACGGATTCCACTTCATCAATATCAGTGGTAGTTAAATATCTTGCAGGTATCTCATTCCCCTCCTCGATATTCGAACTCTCATTATTGTTGCTAGAAGTTAGGCTAATAGGTATATGATCATCTTACTTCTCAACGGCAACGCTGTTGGGCCTGGGAAATCCAGCAGCGTGGCTGACCTCGGCGGAGTCCACGGATCTCTTGTCCTTTTTCTTTTGGTTCTTTCTGTTGCGACACCTCTTTTTTGGACCGACCATCCTAGTGGGCGTGATTAAGGTATCAGGAACTTTGGATTCCTTTGCCTTATGGGATTCAGAATGCTCATTATAGGTGGTCTTTTCCTTCACTGGTACAGTCATCCATGATACAGCAGAATGTTTGAAGAAACTCAAGGTTTTCCCTTTACAAAGATCCAAATAAGACAAATTAGAAATCTTAAGGGATTGATTACTTTGTTGTAATTGTGCCCTCTATTTTTTTGTAATTAACGTATTACTTGTACATACTTGTTCTTGTGCAACGTAGTGTTTAACTATACACTCTTTTACTCTAAAACTGATGAAGCTACCTCATAACTTTGTTTAGTACTCGTATTTTATAATTGGCCTCAACATATAGTACAGGGTAAAGATGGATATGGGTCGTGATACACTTGTTTCGTGTCATCTATTATGTTAATATTTTCAAAATGTCATTATACTCACATGCCACTGTGTTAAATTACTGTGTTGTACTTGCATACAAAACTAAAATTCATTAATTTTACAGACTAGTATACCCCGACAACTTGCAACTTCACATAGAAATAGAAATAATAAAGACAAATTAGATATGCTGTCTAAAGGGAGGATTTAGATAACAAAAGTCAACTTAACTGCATATATAACAGTATAAGCATTAATATAATTTATGAATTATGATGTCATTTTACTCAATCATTAAGCTCCACAGCCATAATAACACATGCACATCAAGTTTTATTAAAATTATATTATAGCAATAATATATATGCACTGTAATTTAAAAGCTTTTAAATAAGAAGCTTGATAACTATATGTCAACATGCACCTTAATTAAAAAATTATAGGTTCACCATCAGACATTTTATATGTTAAGTCACAAAGTCTCACAATTGTTACATTGCCTAAAGCCGTAACCATTTAATAAATTTTTTAAAACTAACCCTTTTTTTTTTTTTTTTTTAATTTTTTTTTAATTTTTATTTTTTTATTTTATCATTTCCATTTTAAAATAAATGGAATAAAATGAAAAATAAAATAAAAAATTAACCATTGACATTGACTTGCATAATTATGAATAGGTGGACTCTTTCAAAAGTTTGAGCAAAGGCTAAATAAATAAGGCTCAATAATTTTTCTTGTCACCTAACTTTGCCTGTTTGCCAACTACATATACATGTAGAAGTAGCCATACCAACCATTAAATCATTATTGAATTTTATTTGCTCATAATTTATTGGCAAACTATCCATGTGTTTGTTGGGTGCTTTTACTTTTCACATATTGACATAAATTGCAAATTCTTCGAATGAAAAATTCTACGTTTTACTTATTTTCTACTTATAATTAATTAGGTATTTGACACTAGAAAATATATTAGATTTAAATTTGCTTACTCCTATTTCTTCTTTTATACTTTACCAAATTTTGCTCCACTTCACCAAATATGCAAATAACGTAATAATGATTTTAAGGATAAACTACCATGTTCTAAAGACTTATAAGGCAATCTATGAAACTATGTACCTCATGATTGTCATGAACAAGAAATCTCTTATGCATATTGAATATAGTTTAAGTGAACACTTACTAGTGATTATCAATCTATGTATTTACCTAACTTTATAATTAATTTGGACAATTGTTGTTTAGTTAGTTGATTGTAAATACTCAAATATCTCATTTCACTCTTTTGTTCGTTAAAAACTTAAAACTAACAATTTTGCTAATATGGTTTCCACTCTACTATTAATCACAGTTTTTTGGTTGTTTGGATTTATCTCGTATTTAAATTCTCAAGTTACTAATATTCTCTTAAGCCAAAACATGTTCCAACCCTAGTCGGATCAAAATCCAACCATGTTAAAACCACCCTATCTCCTCGATGACAACTACGGAAAGTTGATCACGACTTGATCCCAAATGGTAAGATATTGGCCTAATGATGGTACATTCTTAACACCGACATTATAACATTTGAAAGTCTTAGTATCATCAATGTCATATTTGTTCCTATGGAAGAGCAGAGTAGGTAATTGGAGATTAAATTTTTTTGTTACAGTGCATAAAAACTTTTTTTACTAGCTAGGAAGTTACCCAGAATACACCATAATCATAATCGTAATCGTAATCTTAATCATGCAACCAACCTAATGAACTCTGCCTCAAAATTTTCTACTAGTAAATAACACTCAACATAGGAGTATTGTACTCCTAATTTTATATACATACAATTATGTCCTAATCTTCTTATAATCTCTCCATACTTAGTTGGCCTTTCATCCTTTTTATAAACTCTTCAATCTTCATTCTAAGTTCATCTTCATCATCTTCATTATTTTCCACTGCATTTTCTTCGTTTTCTTGATCTTCTTGTTCTTTTTCTTCTTCATATATTATTCGATCATCGTTAATCATTTTGAGTTCATTGATCGTGTCATCTACATACCGCGATTCTTCTTCTACTACTACAGCTGCTTCTTCTTCTTCCTTAATATCTTGCTTCGATTGCTTGTTGTCAATATTATCCTTTACGAAT